TGGACAGTTACTACAAGTCGATAAGACTCGTTGCGCGTTACTCTACGGAGGAGATCATTAAAGGGAAGATGTCGACCTCGGCGGTGGCGTTGCCAGTCTCAGGTGTCAAGCCGCCGGCAGATCCCTGGCCGGCGCTGCTGCTTGGCAGGCTGGCGCTGTCAGTCGAAGGCTCCTTTCTGCATGAGGATGGCTCTGCGGGCGTCGGTATGGTGCTCCGGAACGACAGAGGCGAGGTCCTAATGGCAGCTTACCGGTTCATCTTCTACTGCAATGACCCACTTGAGGCAGAATTGCATGCGATCATGCAGGGGTTGGCCCTAGCATTACAACACTCTGATTTACCGGTGGTGGTTCAAACGGACTCCTCTGAAGCATTGTCTAGCTTGACAAATGATGCACTTCTTCGCTTGGCCTATGGACAGATCATCTTGGAGATCAAGTCACTCTTAGATAGTAGGGAGTTTTTTTCTCAAAAGATTAGTAGACTTCAAAATAGAGTTGCCGATCGGTTGGCTAAGTATAGCCGCACCGAGCGAGCCACGGCTGTTTGGCTTGGCTCGGTTCCACCATGTATCGAGGATTTGTGGCCTCTCGACTGTAACTCTATACCTATGCAATAAACTCCCTTTATCCCTGCAAAAAAAAGAATATATGATTGTTCACTTCTGGCTGCACTTAATTTGCATACTACATAGATCGGCCGCCCCGAGCAACCATCACAAGGAAGCATAATAAATGAATTTATGGAAGGTTGCATATAAGCATTGGTAAACATGTACTACACTGTGGTATGGGGCACATGAAGCGGGAGAATAGCAATATGATCATATATATTACGCTTTTGTAACAAAGAAAAAAAACAGTGCAAGTTATCTTTCACAGTATAGTACTCCCTCCGTCCGGAAATACTTGTCGGAGAAATACATAAAAATGAATGTATCTAGAACTAAAATATATCTAGATACATTCATTCCTCCCACGAGTATTTCCGGACGGAGGGAGTAGCTGTTGCATTAAACCAAACTTGCTCTACTTTACTCCATTATAAAAGGAAGATATTGTGAAGAAACTATACAGACCGACCATACGAGAATCACACAAAGACCCAATGCGAGTTTTAGGCTTCGTGCCGATGTTGGGAGCACATAGTAGCCACATAGAATCTGTAGGCATGAGAGGCATGAGGAACATAGTGATCACCACACCTAGGCATACTTTCAGTTTTAGATGGTGTTCCTGCTAGATGTGCCTTCTTAGCTGGCACACAAAGCGTTGTATTTCTGTTGTTCTGTTTAGACTCTAGACGCCAAGCAATCATGTTTTTTCTAGAGTAGTTCTATGAAGCACATGTTTGCTACCACGGCTTGCAGTGCGACGGGCCTGCAACCGTCCGACGGTCCTTGCACCCGCTCGTGGCGTGTTCATGATCATGTCATGATGTAAGCACGACGGATGCGCAAGCTGTCAACGCCGTGCGATCTGGGTGTCACGTGTGCCTGTGAACACATGGCGTAGGAGAAGAACTTTAGTGAAGTGGCAACTTTCCTTCCCTATCCGTTGTGTGCTCGTTTTCTTTTGAGGCGATCCTCTTTCTTTTCAGGAGATTCTTTGGGAACCTGTGATTGGTGATCAAGTGAGGTGGGTTGTGTGCCGGGCCAGATGAGCCATCGTTAGTATGTTGTGAGGAACAACTGGCCCATGTATCAGTGACATAGCTCGCTAACGTCTGTGCTGGCTAATTTCGTTGATAGTCTTGTTCAATGTCGCTTATTATCACGAGATCGAACCATTTCTGTGGTTTTCTTGTCTTGTTCAATGTCTTATCCTTTCCTCTTTGTCTTTTACTTTCCTACTTGGTAGCAATGACTGTTGTACTACTTATGTTCAGAAAATAAACGGCGCCAACAACTCATTGAAGCAAATTGACAGTGCATGATTCAACTTGGAAGCCACATATTAATCCATTGGCTCAGCAATCAACATCCAAAATCATGCATCACAGCCATCTTTAGACAAGAGTAAAATGAGCTACTCCATCCGATCCAAATTAAGTGACGCGGCTCTATTACAACTTTGTATTAAAGTTGTACTAGGTAAAAGTTGGTGCACATGTAGAACTAATCTACTGAGATAACTGGAAACACAAAAAGACTCACAGGTTTCAGTTTAGTGGAAAAAAAGTACAAGATCTCATATAGGTGCAAAAATACAAGGGAAAATATAGTATATGTTATATATGCATTAATTTCAAAACTACTATGAACTGCTATGAGTAGAGTCAAATCTTGGCCCTCTAGGCGGCCACTACGTAGTTTTTTTTTTTTTTGAGAATTAGCATTGTATTAGATGAGCATGGCCATGATTGTCTTATTTCCCTATACCTTTTTTAAAGATGTACCAGTCACTGGCATCAAATTTACATTCTGCTCCTCCCTTTTGAATCTGGTTCAGATCACTTGTTTGCGTCCTCTAAATTCTAAACATACTTTGTGTTGTGAAACCTGATGCAAAGACCAGAATATCAACAGAATCAGTCCCTTTTCTAACTTTAAGAAAAAAAGACACTTCTCCGACTCACGATAGTGTCAGCAAGAGAGGTTCACTAGAGAGATGAAATGCACGACAAATGCCACCATCACAAAAAGCAATCAACCGCAGCAAGAAGCGTGCGCCTTTGGTTCTTGGATGCATATACCAAACAACCACCAACACCGCAAGAAACAACGAGCATGTTGCTTTGGCAATGGGGGTGAACGCCAAGCATTTGCACAAGACACGAATTTATAGGGAGGCAATCAAAAGTTCCTTGTTTCTTTCATCCAGGAGTCTACCAAAATCCAGCATTTATGTGAAAGGTGTATGCTACATGCGACCAACAAAAAAAAGCTCTTTTTGTGCAGCCGATGAATGGGCTACTATCCACTATTTATCTAAATAGTTCGTTTCATGTTTCTTATGGTTCAGCCAGTTACCAGTGCGCTGTTATACTCATTGATGCCGGATCAAACTAGGAGACTTTTGCTCCAAGAAAAGGACTCTTTTGTGGCATCCAAGTTGCTATGTAATAATATAATTTTTCCCACTATGTCTGAAACTAACCAAGCCTATCACCAGCATGCTCGTTGGTTTTATATGGTTATTGTGTTTGTGTGTGTGTGTGTGTGTGTGTGTGTGTGCTCCGTACTCCCTTCAAGTAGAGAAAGTACATGTATGTCAGGTATGTGAAACAATGAGAAAGTTTGTGGATGCACTGAGCAATGCACCATTGAGAACTTGTTATATGTGAATCTTTTTAGCTATGTGAAACAACTTGTGTACTGGTCCTCGATGGGGTACACTTTTTTATAACTTTGACCAAGTCTATCCAATGGGGTGGACCATCGTGTTTGTTTCCTTAAGTGTATCAGCAACAATAGTTTCAGACAAATTCGTTTGAGACTAAATAGCACAGAAAACTGAACATAAGTTTTCAAGTCAACAAAAAAAACCCAAAAAATTGAAGTCACCAATCCCCGGGTGACACACTAGTTTCATACGACTTTTCTCGAAATTTGGCTCCATCAGTTGAACAGGGGCAAAGAAAACACAACCCAACTAAAATTTCCTTGATAGCCCATTTCTAAGTAGCCATTGTTTCTTTTATTTCTGCGGTTTTCTTGTCTTGTTCAATGTCTTCACCTTCCCTTTTTGTCTTTTACTTTCCTACTTGGTAGCAATGACTGTTGTAGTACTTCTGTTCAGAAAGTAAATGGTGCCTACAACACATTGAAGCAAACTGAGAAATGCATGATGCAACTTGGAAGCCACATTTAATTCCATTCATTGGCTCAGCAATCAGAATCCAAAATCATGCATCACGGCCATCTTCAGACAAGACAAATGCAATGGCTAGTAAAAGTTGGTACACATGTATATAGGTATGAAAAGTCGTAGTGTACTTAGATAACGGGAAACACAAAAGACTTGCAGGTTTCAGTTTAGTGAAGAGAGACTACAAGATCATATATATAGGTATGAAAATACAAGAAAAATATATTTATGCATTAGTTTCCAAACTGCTATGAGTAGAGTCAAATCTTGACCCTCAGTGCGGCCTTAATGATTTACTACGCACAGCAGTGTATGTTCGTGCTGGGCGACATGCCAGCCTGCTATCTACAGCCTAGCTTTACAACATATCAGATAAACCACAGCCATTAATTATTACTAGAAAAAAGATCGCTACCGTGGTCCTCAACAGTTTAATCTTACAACTTTTTATCACATGGTACATGTTTCCATGGTATGGGTCTTTTAGGCATACTCTAAATGTTTGCCAACTATAGTGTGGAGTATTAGATAAGCATGGCCATATGCTTGTTTCTTTTTCCTATACCTTTTACGAATATATATAACTATGCTAGTCACAGGCCGTCAAATTTACATTATGCTCCTCCCTTCTGAATCTGGTTCAGGTCTCTTGTTTGCAGCCTCTGAATTCTAGTGTGCTTTGTGTTGTAAAACCTGATGCAGAGATAAATAGACTCATTTCCTTTTCTATCTAGCTTTAAGAAACAAAGGCACTTCTCTGACTCACCATAGCGTCAGCAAGAGGGGTTCTAGCTAAAGAGACGAAATGCACCACAACCGCCAGCGCAAAAGCAATCAGCCATGCCTTTGGTTGTTGGGTGCATATATGAAACAACCACCAGCACCGCAAGAAACAATGGGCTGGGCGTGCTGCTTTGGCACTAGCAGTGGACGCCAAGCGCTTGCACAAGACACTCGTGCACACACAGGCGTTACGGTTCTCATGGCGCCGTGCTGCCCCATGCATGCTGAAATTACTTTCTGTTTGCTTTGGCGATGCCAATCTGTACTACGATATTAATTTGCATCCCAATAAATCCATGTACATTGTTCAGGAGATTGATCACGGTCATCGTCAATATCAGATCTGTAAGACTCGAAAGAGATTTAGTAAGAGTGTGGACTAGATCTAGAGAGTACAGAGTGAGAGGATGTCGACAAGCAGTGGCAAGCCGCTCCTCGTCGTGATCCGCCGGAGCAAGCTCTCCGTAGGAGATGAGGGCCGCCGCATCTGCACAGAGTTCAAGCAGGCCAAGTACCCCTTCAAGTGGAGAAGGTACATGTGCGCTAGGTGTGGGATGCTCCGTGAGGAGCACAACACCTGCAAGAGCAAGCTCTCCGCAGGAGATGGGGGCAAGCACGACACCAGCAAGAGCAAGCTCCCTGCAGGGGATAAGGGTGAGCAATCCGCTGACAAGTGCAAGCTCTCTGCAGAAGATGAAGGTGAGCGCAGCGCCAACAAGAGTAAGATATCTGCAGGAGAGGAGGGCGAGCGTTTCTGCACCGAGTTCAAACAGGCCAAGTACCCCTTCAAGTGGAGAAAGTACATGTGTGCCAGGTGTGGGGTGCTCCGTAGCGAGCACGGCGTTAGCAAGGCCAAGGCCAAAGTCGACGACGACACGGAGAATATCAAGGAGGAGGACCTGCCGCCACGCAAGAGGCTCATTCTCAGGTTCAAACGGTCACAGGCCCTTGCTGCTGCTGCTGCTGCTGCCACATCCAGGGAGAAGGAGAACAAGGAGGGGGAGCTAGAGGAAGGGGAGATCAACTGGAGCCCCGGCGCGACGATTGCCAAGGGGAAGAGAGCCCCAAGGAGAAAGCGCTAGGATGCACCGTGAACTGAGCAATGCACCATTGAGAACTTGTTATATGTGAATCTCTTCAGCTATGTGAAACAACTTGTGTACTGGTCCGATGTTCACTTCTTTAACTTAGACCAAGTCTACCCCATATACATCAGATGTGGTGGACCATCGTGCTTGTTTCCTAAAGTGTATCAGCAAAATAGTTTCAGATAAAACTCATTGATAAACTAACCAAATTTGGCTCTAGAAATTAAACAGGGAGCCAAAGAAAACACGACCAAACCAAAATTTTGCCATCAAAACTAATTAATGGTAGGTAAATATGGTCAAAGTTGCCAATGGAACAAATATTCACAAGTTTGGTACGGCAAACCTTGGCTCTGAAGATATAAAACCAAACATCCTGCACTACTCCAAATAAATCACAAAAACATGGGCTGTCGCATCCCGCCAGAGCTTGTTATGCAACCAAAGTCGTGTTGTGCTCCCCCGTGCATTAGTTGCCTTCCTGCGCATTACACCGTGATGCACATTCATTAGCTGGGATAAAAGAGTACATATGCAGTAGAAGAGCATCTACTGAATATATCACGAATTTAATCAGTAGCAGATCACGCAGAGTCCTACTCTACACGTTCATACATCATAGGTCATGTGGACAGTACTAAGTAATAAAGCTTTAGTGCAAAGCAAAAGAGGAGCAACACAACCAATTCATAACATCAGTGACACGTAGATGATCGGAATCAGTAACCTTACTAGGTTAACAGTGGATCTACACAATATGGAACATGCTACACACCTCCAATTTGCACTTGGCTTCAGATTCAAATGCCTTGCACAAGATCTCATAGCTTCTATGAATTCCAATCTGTGGAAAATGAAGGAGTCAACATACAAATATCTTGTTCCTGTGGAGACTATTTCTTGGTAAAGTAATACCAGTGGATCCACTCGTGATGGCGAGGTACTGGATATTACATATCTGCAAGATAGAATAAGTGAATTAAAATATTGCAATCAAAGTGAATGAGACACCATAAGTAACCAACAACCCGAAGGTACATCCATTCAGTGCGCCCCAGATAAGTTGTTGACATGAAATGCAAATTTACGACTTTACCCCAAATTGTTGTAGAAAGCCATAGCATCTGTATTAGATTTTTGAACTGTTAGCATCACGGCCTCCATTTGGCTCTGCAAGCATACATGCGTTCTGGGTCAATTTTTTATCATCATTCCAGCTGAGATGTCACCAGAATAGTAATTGGGCAAGAAACAAAAATAAAAAAAATGCATTAACCAGAAGACACAGACCACTCCATGACACTCTATGTCTTGACATAATATTCTGAAGAACAGAACAATAAACTATCAGGAACTTCAAAAAAACAGATCACCTTGCAAGCTATAAGTTCAATCAACTGCATTAGGAACTTCCCCAGCCCCTTCCCTTGGACAGAAGACTCCAATTGTAGCTCATACACATAAAGAACAGGCACATCCTCTTCAACAACAAATCTGTAGTGTACAAAACCAAGCAAGCGGCTTCCACGGCATGTCACATGTGCACATTCCACCCCTGAATCTTGCTTCATGAAACATTTGGCAATATCACTGTCTGCATATTGGCAGATCAGGATATATCGTGCTTCTGGGGCAACCATTTCCCGGCGCTTAATTTTCTCTTCTGAAGGCCATTCTGATCCATAAGTTCCCTTCATGTTAGCCTAAATTATTGTTTACCAGTGTTACATTCAATAATCATGGGTTACTTGTAAAAAGGTACATATGCAAACATCCTAAAGCAGTAGGCAGGTAAGGTATTCAACCTTGAGAAGATTTTGGATGTACTTCCTCGTTGGCACTGAAAGCTGATTGCCATGCCCAGACTCCAAGTAGATCGAAAAACCTAAATATAAGAAATATGAGTTCAGCCTGCTATAGTGCAGTTCTCCTCCAGAAAAAGACAATGCTTGGCCCAAAGCAAGAATTGTTGTCTCGAGTACAATTGCTAAGGCCTAATGATGCATTCAATTTTCTTTTGTTGAATCCCTAAAGCTGAATCCAGGAAACACACAGTAGGCGTCCTGAACCCAAATGGAACATTAGCAGCTACTTGTCCTATAGCACAGAAAATTTACATCAGAAAGACAAACGTAGGTTACCACTTCGCTCGTATTTATGAAAATCCGGGAACTGCGCAAGATGATCCTTCACAGCTACAGCTTTCCTTATAAGTTCTTTGATGGCCTTCTTCCTCCCCAATATCTATCCAAAAGCATGATATCTGCATGAGCTCCCAGTATACATATAACCTCCATCAGTTCTCTCCCAATGCTGATTCATGGCATGGTTGCTATTATCACAAAAACAGCTGGATTCAGGGACCAGAGTCACCAGGTGTTCACTGAATCTCTGTGTTGCTGAAAAGTAAAAATCTAGGTATAGGTGATGCAACTTTCAACATGTTTCCGCGGAATCAACACATGGACAATGCGTGTGCTGAACTTGGCGCTACGGCCTCAGCCAGCTCCATCCTACTCGCCAATCTCGAATGCCGGGATTAAACCATGTCAGCATACAATAGATTGTTGCAATGAAATTTGCCGCAGGGAGCGGAAAGGGGATCGGGGATAGAAGAGGAAGAGGGGAAGGGGAGAAGTATGAGTACCTCCTTCCTACTCGGCGGCCTCTCCACGCCGCCGCTGCTCCGAGGCCTCTTGTTCTCCGCCGTCGCCATCGCTGGCCCCTGCCGTTGTCTCGTGGCTGCCGGCTGCAGGAGAGCCGCCGCCGGTGGGCTCAGGAAGTAGGAGTGGTTCTATTTGTCGGGCCAATGAAAAGATGCTTGTTTCAGCCATGGGCTCTCCGGCGTCGTAGCGCGCACGACGAAACCAAGGCCTGCGGCCCTTATATCTTCACCGTCTTGTCTAAAAAAAAGGTATTCACCGTCGAACTCACGCAGAAATTAGCGAAATCACTAGCTTTTTAAAACTAGTAAGCATGCATGTGCAACGCACGTCCCAAACGTAAACCAGGTAAGACTCACATAATATAAAAAAATAAATATTTTTAGAAATATAAATCAAATGGATACACAATGTTTGATGTCGTTCAAATTGTATTTATAAAAGTGACACACAATAGTGGTTATGTTGCTTCATAGAGTAATCGCATGAAAATATTCTCATTTAAATAAAATAAGCAATTATTTATTAATGCAGTAATATAGCCTTGTAGTGTAGTCTTCTCTTCGAGTGTAGCCAGGAAAAAAAAGTATAAACTGTCTTACGGTGCAATTATATTGTTCAAGATGCTTAATTCTCGAATCTTATTTTATTCTACTAATCTGCGTAGCAAAATATATACTTGTACTAATTTGGATCAAACTATATATATTTTATGGTTGTGTGGATTGCCAAAATAATATAGCTACCTACTATGGATAATAGGAAATAGAAGATGATATGTGACTACAACGACTTCTATATAAAATAAAGATTATTTACAATAACTAATTGAAATGTAAAAGGGCTAAAAGAAATCCAATAATTATCATGATAGAAAGCATTTATCCGGTTTTGTATGTGTTTATGCGTTGGCAACCATCAGTGGCGTAGCTAGGGGGTGGCCAGGGTGGTCCATGAACCACCCTGGAATTTCTCCATAGCTTATGTACAGTGCAGTAAAAAAGTATTTTTTTAAAAATAAATAATCTTATGTAAATGTTTCTATCAATGGACCACCCTGGCGTATTGGATTGGCTACGCCACTGGCAACCATACTAACTTACAATACTATAAGACGCTCTGTGCATACAGAAACTGAAATGAGTTAGGAAGAAAAATAAAGATGGAAGGAACAGTATTTCAGAGTATTTGTCAAGCTTAACCTTATCAAGCTTTCAAGTCAGCTTCTAAATTACAAAAAACATGATGAATCCTCAAATAAGAAAGAGCCAATAATTTGGAACATGCTACAAAACTGGTGAAGATAGAAAGCATTCATCCTCTTTTTTCTTGTCGTAAGGAGTAGCTTCAGCATACATTTGTAACAGTGTAATACCTGATCCGGAAAAAGTTATTCATTATTATTACTGGAGGAAAGAGGCGTGCAGACAAAGAAAGAGAGGCGGTGCAAATAAGGCCTTAAAAAGTATGTCTTCAAGTTTGATGACTGCAGATATGTTGAATTATTTGAAACTCCACAAGTATATCTCTACTACCTAAAAATTACGTAGGGTTCCGTCTCCCCCCTTACGTAGACCCACCGTTCGTCCTTCGTCGATCCCTCTCCCCTCGCGAGCGCTTGCTTTCCCGATTTTTCTTTCAAAAAAAAAACAATGCACGCATGTCAGCCCAGTATTCTGTTCCATCCTGGCCCAACCTTTCGCCCGCTCCGTTGCGATGAGAATGCCCTAGCGGCTAGCTCTACCCTCTCCCGCCACCACCACCGGGGACATCACCCACCTCCTCCTTCCTCCCTCCTCCCCTGCCGCTGCACGAATGCACGATCCTATCAAGGAGGACAGCGTCCTACGATCCAGCCACGGTCGCCCAAAATCTCGATGGGATGAGTCCGATCTGGGCCTCGTCCCAGCCGCCGCCTATTCTACATATGTCGAGGTGAAGATGCCCACGTTGTCCCCCTCCTCCACATACCTCCGTGTCATCTGATGCCAACGAGGACGACTTCCTTTGATCCAGCCACGGCTGCGTGGAATCTCGACGAATCCGCCCGGCCTCACCCCATCCGTCGTCGGTAGGCTATTTTCCATACGCCAAGGTGAGCATCCATGTCCGATGGTGCGAATTTAACCTGGTCCTATGGCACTTCTTTCCCCGTCGTGCAATCTTCATTGGTTCGGAAAGATGGGGGTTGCCTGTTTAGCTAATTTTGATCATGTTAATTCTTATTATATTCAGTTATATTGCAAACAACATGAACATGCTGCTCCTTTTTCCAATCAGAATACTTTTGTGTGGTGGAGAGCTCGGGCGTCAGTAGCAGAGCACGGCCGG